ACTGCTGAGTTTTCCAAACTTGCTGGCATATTGAGTGTAGCATCTTAACAGCGTCATCTTTTAAGGTTTTAATTAGTTCAACTGGTATGGCATCACCTCCACTGGCCTTGTTGTTAGCCGTACTTTCTAAGACCTACTTGACTTCATTTTCCAGGATGTCTGGCTCAAGGTCAGCAAGCACACTATCTGGGCTGTTCGGGATTTGGTTTAGATTGTACCTGACTAGCCCAGTGGTTTTTCCTACTCTCTTCAGTTTAAGCTTGAAGTTTGCTATAAGAAGCTGATGATCAGAGCCACAATCAGCTCCAGGTCTTGTTTTTGCTGACTGTTATAGAGCTTCTCTGTCTTTGGCTGCAGAGAACATAATCAATCTGATTTCAGTATTTTCCATCTGGTGATAGAGTCGCCTTCTTATGTTGTTGGAAAAGAGTGTTTGTGATGACAAAGAGTGCTTGTTCTCTTCACAAAACTCTATTAGCCTTTGACCTGCTTCATTTTGAACTCCAAGGCCAAACTTACCTGTTGTTCCTTTTATCTCTTGACTCCCTACTTTAGCATTCCAGTCCCCTAGAATGAGAAGAACATCTTTCTTTGGTGTCAGTTCTAGAAGGTGTTGTAAATCTTCATAGAATTAGTCAATTTCAGCCTCTTCAGCATCAGTGGTTGGTGTATAAACCTGGATTACTGTGATGTTGAAAGGTCTGCCTTGGATTCGTATTGACATCATTCTATCATTTTTGAGATTGTATCCCAATACAGCTTTCCCCACTCTTTTGTTGACTATCAGGGCTATACCGTTTCTTCTACGGGATTCTTGCCCACAATAGTAGATACGATAATCATCTGAATTGAATTTGTCCATTCCTTTCCTATTAGTTCACTGCCCAGGATGTCAATGTTTATTCTTGCCATCTCTGTTTGACCACATCCAACTTACTAAGGTTCATAGATGTTACATTCCAGGTTCCCATGCAGTATTTTAGTTTGCAGCATCTGACTTTCCTTTCACTTCCAGGTGCATCTGCAGCTGAGCGTCCTTTCAGCTTTGACCCAATCATTTCATTAGCTCTGGAGCTACTTGTATTTGTCCTCTGTCCTTCCTCAGTAGCATGTTGGACGCCTTGTGATATGAGGGGCTTATCTTCCAGCATCGTATCTTTTAGCCTTTTGTTTTTGTCCATGGAGTTTTCTTGGCAAAGATACTGGAGTGGCTTGCCAGTTCCTGCTCCAGTTGGATCACATTTGGTCAGAACTCTCCACCATGACCTGTCTGTCCTGGGTGTCCCTGCACGGCATTGTCCGTAGCTTCTCTAAATTACTCAAGCCCCTTCGCCACGACAAGGCACCAATCCATGGAGCAGAAATGCTGTATTAGCCATTATTAAATGAAAGATTATGTGTATTTATAATTGTCACAATGCTGATGAGCGGTTATGTGACATTTTTGTCCAGTCATGCTAAAAAAAATTGGAAGGTGCATGAGTCATATGTAAACAATGAATCACATACTGTCAGTTAGCATTATTTAGTTACCTTGTTGCTAGAAAAGATTCATCCGGATCTGTGTCTGAAATAAAAATTCCACTCACACTGGCTGCCTCTTGCTTCTGCTGTTGGTGGTGTTATTTTTAATATTTGTTTTAATTTTTTTTATTTCTTTCAAACTGGTATAGTACTAGCTCAAAATCACAGATAGAAAGCAAATAACAGATTGGAATGCAAGGTCTCCTTGCAGCCTGAAAGCTGTTATCCTAGAATCCATTACTTGACAAGTCCCACACATGCCAGCATGAAGAACACACATGTGAGCATGAGAGCAGGCAGGCAAGTACAGGACAAAACCTCAAATTAAATAATTTTAAAACCTCATGTAGCCCCTTTGACTGATATACAAGACAGCTTTAAAATGGATTAAAAGTTGTTCCAAGAGACCACACGCATCGACCCCAAAACCACCTGACTACCACATGATTTTAAATTGACTTCAAAAACTCTGATCCATCACTTGTTTTATTCCAATAGGGTAACTGTGCCCTGAGGTACAGATAGAGATTGTTCCTGCTGCATTATTTGAGATAAAAACCAACATCTTTTGTCAAAAATTCACTTTTAATTTCTAACTGGGGTGGAGGCTAAATAATTTATCCACAAATAATAATAAAGGATCCTGAATTATAAATAATCTGAGCAGTAAGTAGGTAGAGGGTTCCCTCTCTAAGTTAGCTTGCACAAAGAATGGAATTAACTTGTAAATCACCTCTGGAAGCAGCAGCATTAAATATATATATAAGCAAAACAGATACAGGAGAGCTGAAGTCAGGGAAGAACATTGGAGAAGCTTACCTTGCTTCTTTCCAAGAGCCTGGGTTCCGCCCTTCCTCTGTTCTCTCACTTCTAAGCATCTGACGCACATCTAGATTCCTCCCTCTAACCAACCCCATCTCTTAGCCAAGGGAGAGTTCACAAATTCCCAGCAGTTTTGATTCCAACACACTGTAGAAGGAAACAAAGCAAAGCAAAGCAAAGCAAAACAGAAAACTATCCCTTTACTAGTAACTCCTCCAGCCTCTCCTCTTTAGAGTAGGGGAGGATGGGGGGGGAACCCCAAGCCCCACCCCCTGAAGCTGTTTCTTTAGGGTGAGGATTGGGGGGTGGAGAACAAATGGGTCTAAAAACATGCGCTGTTTTCAACTTTAATGTTAAACTGGTTTTTAGACAAACACTGCATTTCATCCTGCTTAGACAAGTCCTGCTTTCCCAAGTGCTGGCAGATATCATTCTGGTTAAGTAGCATTGTTTTCTATTAACACTGGCACAGCTAAAATGCTGAAGATTATTCTTGTAAAAGGGAGAGCAGGAGAATAGCCATTTATCAGGAAAACTGCATGATTTTCAGTGATGTTTCTTGCAGTATCTTCTCCATGATGTGGAGTAGTTTGAAGTACTGTAATATACAGTATCTTGAACTGTAAGGGTCTCACTTAAGCAAGAATAGGTTACAAGGTACGTATAAAGATGCTTGTTTATTCTACTTTGAACAGACTAAGGGCTCTGCAGATTTTTAAATACAGTACAGTACAAGCAAATGGATTGCCATAGCAGCTTATGGAATGTTTTTTACTTTTTAAAGATGCTAAGAGATTCTTTGCTGTTCATCTATTTCTATACAAGGGTGACTGAAACACATTTTAACCACTTCCTTCTAGCTTTTATATGGAGCCAGGGTCAAATCAGGTAAGAAGCTAAATACCTTTGAAATTTGTATTGCAAGGAAATCCCACCCTCAGAGTACATTTAACCGTTTTAGAAAAGTTTTCCCCCCTTAAGACTCCCTCAAGATCTGTTGTCGCGCGCATAGTTAGGCTTTTAGAAAATAACAAAATATCCCACAACATCTTCAAAATGAGAGCCATTTTCCTTAAACAAATTCAGAAGAGTCCTCCATTTCTGCATCACTCTTCCTGAATAGGTACATTCATGGGCATTTTAACTCTGTTAATTTGGTAAGAAAACTCTAACCCATCAATCCTGCTGTATCAGCAAACTGTTAACTTTCTTCTGTCTTTCTGTGATATGTATGTTCAAAGACAATTTGTGTGGAGAAATAGGTGTACATGGATTTTCTCTGTATGATTTATCTGGACTGAAATACTGTAGATCATGATATGTTCTCACCTGCTGAGATTTGCTTTAAATCTGCTCTTCCCTCTGCACTGGTAGACACAGAAATTAGCCAAGACAAAACTAAAATGTTCCAGGATATTATTCTGCTAGTCATCTGCCTTCCAAAGGAGTCCAGAATCTTTCTGAAATTCATTTATGATAACAACTTTCAAAGAGAGAAAGTTAGTTCCAGCATGTATGAAAAACAATCAGTCCTGTAATGCCTTTGAGACGAACAAGCATGGGTAACAATTTATTGGACCAC